GTTGTTGCTGATGTTGTTGTTGTTGTTGTTGTTGTTGTTGTTGTTGTTGTTGTTGTTGTTGTTGTTGTTGTTGTTGTTGTTGCTGCTGCTGCTGCTGCTGCTGCTGCTGCTGCTGCTGCTGCTGCTGCGGAGGCGGTTGCAGGGGTTGCTGGGCGACGATAGGGGCGCAGGGGATGGACGGGGCGCTGTACGTCAAGAGGATCTCCTGGACCGGCGAGAGGGGAATGAAGACGCTGCCGGTCTGCTGGACTATCGTCGCGCTCGGCTCGTAGACGATGCTGGCCGTGGACGGCTGCTGCGGCTGGTGGTGGGCGTAGACGGCCGAGCCTGCGAGGTCGATGGTGTTCACCTGGTAGATGGGCTGGTCCGGTTGGTAGACCGTCATCTCTTGGATGTCGGTCGCCGGGCTCTCGATCACGCTCTGCGGGCCGATGGCGACGCTGGGCGGCGGCAACGGCGGCAGAGACCTCGAGAGCTCCAGCAGGTCGTGGGCGGCCTCCGTCTCCGCGGGGGACCGGTCCTTGAACATCGGGGACACGTGGCTGGCGATCGCGTCGCAGCCGGGCCCTATCCGCGCGTCGGCCAGGCCCAGGGACCGGCCGCCGTCCTCCAGGTGGTACGGCGTGGCGGTGCTCGAGGGCGGAGACGGCTCTCCGGGCGGCGGACGGTGCACCCCGCTCGCCGGAGACCGCTGCTGCTGCTCCGCCGCCGATCCGCGGGGCGATCCGTCGCGAGTGGGGGGGAGGCTCGTCGCGAAGGGAGCCGAGCTCGCGTCCGCCGCCGCCGACGAGGCCGACGAGACCGACTCCTTCGCCGCGGGCCGCGCCGAAGAGACGCCGCTCCAAGAGACCTCGGTCGTAGCTTCCGTTCGCGCGGACGCCGGAATCGGCTGCGCGACGCTCCTCGGGGACGACGGCATCCTCTCGATCTCGCCGCGATCGTTACGGTCGCAGCGCTCGCTCGTTCTGTTTTGGCACGCATCCTGCTCGGGCGTCTTCGTTCCCGTCGGGCTCGGCTCCTGCGACTGCGGGTTCAGGTATTCTGCAAGAAAAGGTGGGACGTGAGCGTACGTCTCGCGATTCCAACGGTCGATTGGCTCGACGGGAGGAAACATCGGGCACGAGCTCCCGACAACTCGCACATTTTTCTCGGGCTTTCGTCGCGTTTGTTTCGGGAACGACGTCGTTTTCGCGGAAGACCGATATCGAGGGTTTCGAAGCAGGGACGTCGCTGAAATTTCGAGCAAATTGCTCCGCGTATAACCAAAATCCCTGGGACACGCGAGACCGATGCGTCGAAATATTCGAGTCATCGTTCGCCGAGGGAAGGATAGAAATCGGCGGGAAATTAGGACGATCCGCTTGCAAACGGTAATCGATTTCGAGCGACCGACGACGGCTCGAACGTCGAACGCCGCGAACGCTTTTCCTATTTTCGAGAAAACCGGCGTGCGACGTGCGGCGTGCGGCGTGCGGCACGGAGAGAGAAGCTATTAACTTCCACTTCCCCTTCGAAAGAAGAAGCGGTATCGATCTTCCCGGTTCACTTTATGCGTAGCAATTAAACTTTCCGCGGAGCAGTCTCCGAAGGAAACCGAGAACCCTCGCGAAATATAATAAACTCGCCCCCGGGTCCGTGGGCCGGGTTACGGGCTAGACTCCGGGTAGATGGAAGCGGAAGCAGATCGGAATTTCGTTTGTAATAGAAAAACTTTGCGGCGCGGCTGTTCCCGTTCGATCGCGATCGGTAGCGTGGGAACGAAAGAAGTCGGAATCGAGGACGAGGAAGAATGGAAACGATCGGGGGCAAGGGTGCGCGAGAAATCCGAGACCGAGAGGAGAAAGACGGGGGAGGCCGCCGTGGGCCCTGTCGTCCGAGGATCCGAGTAAATTTTGACCCGTGCGTTCGCAACGCTTCTCGTCGGGAGGACGATTTCGCGGGACGATCGTCGCGACGCGCGCGGGTCGGAAACGACCCATGCCGACGCGTCGCGTCGCAGAGTCGATCGAACGCGCCACTCGATTTCGCGATTTGACTTTTTAATCGAGATTCGACGGGAACGAGCCTCGCCGTCGGCGTGTGCCAGCACGGAAGAGCGTCGAAGCTCGCTGACGTTGCGGCGCGCGGTGGCGCGGGGCGGCCGCGGGGGTGGCCGGGGAAGAGGGAGGAGGGTGGTTCGTGGCTGCTCGGGGACGGGATTACGACGGCAAGTATGTTGGAAACGGGGTCAAAGGGGATGAGTGGATGGCTAAGGAAAGTGTAGGAGAGCGAGCGGATATAAAATTTCACGATAACTCGGTTATGAAACTGCGCGTTTCATTTCAACGCCGCCCGACGCCCGACGCCCGACGCCCGGCGACCGGACTGCGAGCTTCCGCGTACCACGACTTCTCGAATCGTTCTCTCGACGGTTCCCTTCGTTGTTTTTCTCCGTGTCCCACCCCCCACCCCACCCCCAATCCCGGCAGAACCTCGCAATCTCTCCGCTGGGGAAATTCTCCCCGATTAACGCGAACCGGTTATCAATGACTCCGCGATTCCCTTATTACCGTCCTCCCTTCGGCCGACTTTTTGCCCGTTTTCCGCCGCGATTCGCTCGAGCAATTCGCGGCGGCATTTTCGCCGTCGAACCGTTTTCCCGGAGAAGCGGAAATTCGATGCGAAATCTGCGTTTCCGCGCGATTTTAATCCACCCACCCCCTCTCGTCGACGTCTCTATCTTTCGCCCTGGAAACTTCGATCCGAAAATTCGAATCGACTTCCGCGTCGTCTCCATTTTGCGGAGCCCCCGGTCGGTGCAAGAACGTTTCTCGTCTTCTTTTTACTTTTCAAACTTTGTCCACGATCTGGGATAGAATCGGCCGATCCCAAGCGATTCTTATCGAGAGAAACGATCGTGCTACATCGGGAAAGCTGTTGAGAAACTATCGAACGGCAAGATCGATCGAAGCGGCTCGATCGACTGAAAATAATCCATCCATCGGTCGGGTCTTGCGTTTCCCCGATCACACCAACCGTGCGGACTTTACAGATTTAAAAAAAAAAGATTTGCAACCGACAAAGTTCTAACGGCCGTTTAAAAGAAAGGACCGCTCGCCCCGGTTCGTCGGACCGTCCTCCGCTCGGCCGCCATCTTGGCGGAATTCGGCGAGTCGTCGCGCACGCGAACTAGCCCGAATTTCTCGGATGCGACGCAAAAACGGGCCGTTTAATTATCGTTCGTAACGCGACCGGGAAGTCGCGGTGGTTCCGGTCGCGATGAAATTCAAAGTCTGGCTGTAGTTTCGCGTACGATTGCGTCCCGGTTTCCGCGGGGGCCGGGGCGGCGCGGCTCGGCTCGGCGCCGCGCGACGATAGAAGCGTGCCCCGGCATTGTAACGAGTCTTAAGTGCGGTCGTTGCGGCTCCATTAACGTCTCCGGGGCAAGTTTCGCATGACACTTTCCTCCCATTCGCTCGATTATGAACACGAACCGTAAACCGAGCCGAACAAAACGAGGACGCCGCGCCGAAGCGAGACGCCGCTCGTCGACGCCATCCGACGACAATCCGGACAATTAATGCAGTTTTCGTTACGAGGAGCGACGCGTTATCGCAAATTATGTAACGGCACCGCGTGGAATCGCGGCTCGCGAGCATCGCGACCGCTTCCGCGTCTTCCGGAGCCGACCGAACGCTACGAAACCCCGAGCTCGGGAAATCCACGCGCCGCGTAGTTCGCGATTCGCGATTCGCGTGTACCGTGTACACGTGTTTTTTGGCACGAACCCGGGGTCCCTTATCGCGATGGTTGTCGACCAGCGTCGCCGTTACACCGGGAGGGAAAAATTCGATTCTCGACAGCGGTGCTCGGGATTCTCGAAATTTTATCGTTGCGACTTAGGATCGTCTCGCGAATCGCGTTTATTCGGATCGACTAGTTTCGATCGGGCAATCGTTCGCAGAAGACATTCTAGATTCCAAAATCTTTTCCAGGGCGCTGAAATTATCGACGACAAAATGCGCAACGATGGCAATAAACGAAATAGACGGTTCGAATTGGAAAAAAAAGACGAAGCGGCGAATGCGCGAGCAGGGTAAACAACGATCTTTCGCGAAGCCTCTAGAGCAAATTCGAACGTTCTCGTCGAACTCTACAGCATCGCGCGACGTTTCTTTATACGATTCGCGCGCCTAGGACGCGGCAACATCGATTACCCGGTATCCAGAGGAAAACAGAAGGAACGCCGATACGCTCGAAGCTGTACGATCGCATTTTACGTTCGACTCGTGTTCGCGGCGCGACGGTAAAGTCGGCGATATTATCGTCTCGAGGATCGCGTCGCGTCGGCGCGAAAAGTTGTCGGCGGCGCGGTTCGACGCTCGCGACTCGAGAAGGGTCGTTTCGGTGTTTCGGGGGACATTGGATACGCGTCGGTACACGGACGTTCGTCTCGACCGCGACGGAAGCCGCGACGGAAGCCGCGGCAACGCGAGTCGACGACGAAACCCGCGGCCGCGATATACGACCGCCGCGGTCGCCCCGCGCCGGCCGAATCGATACCGCGGGCCTTTAGAGCGAACAGCAACATTCGCATTAATTGGACGTAATAGCCGCAGCCGAAATATCGATTGCCATTCTCCTTTTCGCGTTCTCGTCGACGCGACGACGGCCGCGACCGCTCGCCCCTAACCGCGACGAAGCGGCACGGTTGCCTCGACGCTCTCTCTACTCTAGAATTCTAGATTATTCCGTGCGAGGAATGGCGCCGTCTCTAGCGTATACGTCGATACGCGCCTCGCGGTGCCGGCGGAACGGATCGCAACTTTTCGAGGAATCCGATTCGCTGGAACTGCTCGGCCCGCTGTCGGGGAACGCCGTCCGTTTCGACGCTGCCCCGCTGTCGCGGATTTTTCGCAATTTGCTCGTAGCGCGCGAGGTTTCATCGAGTATTCGCGGTTTCAACGGCGGATCGTAGAACGCGTTCGCTGCGCGTATTCGCTACGCTTGTTGCACGCGTCGTGCCGACAGGTGCGTACAGCACGCTCTAACGGAGAGAGAGGTTCGTCGAACGATCTCTCGTAGAAAGATTTAACCGATCGCAGCGATCGCGAGAGAACGTTCGAAACGAATCGTACGGTTCCGACGTTGATTCGTCAACGGCGCGAGAGATTTTCAAAATTTTCCGAAATTTTGGAATACGATCTTTCGTAATTTCTACGGTATCGAAAGGCGCGTCGGTGATTCGTCGCTTCTTGGATTTTCACGAAACGTTTCAACCGATGTTTCGAAAACGAGGTCCGCCGGTTCTTTCGTCGTCGATGCGCCGTCTAAACGGGAAAAAGAATCACGTGCTCGTTCGACGCGTTTAATATTCCCTTCTACCGAAGCAATTAATTGGGAATAGCTTCGCAGCAGCGAACGCTGCAACGCGATAAAAGGTCGCGTAAATTTTTAAGCGGTCGGACCGATACTCCGATGCTCCGCTCGATAAAATATGGACCGATCGAAAGCACGACCGTTTCTATCCTTTGCGCAGGTTTCGACGATCGTTCCGCGAACGATCTTTTTTTCGATCGTAGCAGATTCGGCGTGGAACAATGCCGAAGAAAACGAGGGCAGCACGGCTCCTTAACCGTGCACGCGGTCGCGTCACGGACGACGCGGGAATATTTCGAAGCAGCCGGCCCCCGATGGCTTCGAAGAGCCACACGAGGGGGATGGAATTTAATCGACGGATAAAACGGCGACGTCGCCGATACGTCGGGACCGAACGTTTTCGTACGTTGATACGAAATACACGGTATGCGCAATCACGCGCAATCGGATGCAATCGAAGCGGAGAAACCTCCGATATCGAATAACGTCGCCGCGCCGCGCCGCGCGACGTTGGTCGAAATTTATAAGCGATCGCCGTCGACGGTGCATCTCGTTCTTTGCTAATCGCGGGCGACGACATGGACGCTCGATCGACCGTAATCGACGATTTACCTCACTCGCCGCTGCTCGCGTTAAAATTTATACGATCGCGAATCGCCTCGATTCGAATCGGATCGGATGGCGTTCCAATCGGATGGCACGAGTAAAAGGAACACGATCTTCTGTAAATCGTTGCGGGCGGTCGTAAGTCGAAACAGAAATTCGTGAAACCGTATGAAAATTTGAGAACGCGTGGACCGTGTACACGCGGCTCCGCGCATTCGTTCGAAGCGTGGCTATCTTTCGATATTTCTACAGCACGAAAACTATAACAGATTCGAGAGAATAAAACGAATCCAGCTGTCTATTATAAAACGCGTTCTCTCCCTCGAGGTCTGCGAGTTACGAAACGAATCGCGTCGTCTTCGAACATCGAACTTGAAAGACGCTGTTAGCCATCCCGAAAGATTCCCAATTATCGAATCTCACGAATCCCCGGATCGAAAACCGGCATTCTCGAGTTCCCTCGTAAACGGACGAAGCGCGCGCGGCCACGATCGAAGCACGCGAAGCGGCGGTACGGCCGATTCTCGTACCTTGAGCAACAGGGGGTGCGACAGTCCCTTCTATGGGCGAGACCGGTATCTGCATGGCGGTCGGCGATGGCGTGCTCCTGCCGCGACCCCAGCTCTCGAATCCTCTGGCAACGCTGCTGACATACTTGTTGCACAGGGCCTTCTTCACCATGTAACACCGCGGCATCTTGGCTGCTGCTTCGGCCGTTGTCCCGGGCCGATCGGTTCGAAACGATCTCTCTCTCTCTCTCGGAATCACCGGGAAAATCGAAAGAGGCTAGGGTGGTCGTCGATCGCGCGCGGTTCTCCCGTTGGCCGGCGTTCGCGAGCCACCGGGCGCATCGGTTCGAAGGGATCCCGGAGCGTCGACGATCGAGCCTCTGTCTAGCGACCGATCGGAATCCGAGAGAACGGTTCGCCGACGGGACACCGGGTATACGGCGGGGACGGCGCGGACAGCTTCGGGCCGCGATCGTCTTTTCCTCGACGGGCCGTTCGAGCCAAAATGTCGTCCCGCGGCGGTCTCTCCGCGGAGGCCACCGGGATCGCGACGCCGCGACGCCGCGACGCCTTTCGCGATCTTCGATCGACGACTCAGCCGATCCTGTTCGCGCGTCGCATCCTCCTCTTTCGAGTTTTATCGAGGCGAGTTCTCTTCGTTCTCCGATTCGTCTCCCGTCGATCGAGTCGGCTCGAACGATCCGATCTCGCGGTAGTAGATCGTCCGACGGAAACGGCTGTCGTCGTCGGCGGCGTCCGACGAGGAATCGCGGGCCCTCCTCTATCGATACCGACGTCGACGTCGATCTCCTCTCGGGTCCTCCGGGTAATCGGAAACGTCCTCGTCCCGACCTCGTAGGTTATACGCGAGCCGACGCGTCGCGAGCGGCGGTATTTTAATTCTAGATGTCGTTGCACGATCGCTGAACAGGCGGATGCTATCCCCTGTGCAGCTTCTCCCCGTGTCCTCTCCCTCCCTCCTCTAACTCTCTCTCTCTCTCTCTCTCTCTCTCTCTTTATATATATCGCTCTTCCTTTCTCTCTCTTTCCCTCCTTCTATTTTTCTCGGTGTACGTGGAATCGACTCCTATGTACACGCGTGTATATACATCTATAGAGCTGTGTATACGGTTCGTATTAAAATATTTTTCGGCGAAGCGTCCGGCTCGCGAATCAGCGGCTGACGTCGATCCAGCGAACAGCTCCTTCTTCTCCTCCTCCTTCTTCTTCCTCTTTTTATTCGTCTCCTCTCTATTCGTCTTGGTTCTCTAGCTTCCGCGTTTACCTTGTTTGTAGTATTGCTTTCGTTGTATTCACGGGTGGAAGATTACGTCATGACGACCCTAAGCTAGCTACTGCCCTGTGTTCCTCTCGGGATCGGTCGGCCTCTCTTTTCGCGGCATCCTCGGGCGAGTTCGCGTCGCTCGAAAGTTCCCACTCTACGGCTATACGCTACGCGGTATGTATACGTCTAGGAAATTTATATTCGTATGTACAAACGCCGGGCTCGGCTATTTACACGCTCCTGCGTTCGTCCGTTCGACGCGAAAATTGCGAAAAGTGCGAAAAGTGCGAAAAGTTCTCGGCAACGGAATCGAGTTTCTACGCCGCGGTGTCGCGGGTCCGCGCAACTGCACGCCCGCGCGTCCGCTCCGAGAGGCTGAGCTTCTACTCGGCCGGTTTGTCCGAGCGACGTCTCGTTCCAGCAGCGCGGCCGTCCTCCGGCACCGGGATCGTCGGGCGTGTCCTTCTCCTCATCTCGCGATCAGTCTCGCTCGCTCGGACACCGGCGCCGACCGGCGCCGATCGGCGCCAACCTTCGCGCCTCGCGCCGATGTATCCCCGGCTTCCCCGATTTCTCCGATTTCGCCCGAGTCGTCGAAGTCGTCGTCGTCGTCGTCGTCGTCGTCGTCGTCGTCGTCGTCGTCGTCGAACCTGCTCGTCGAAGCCTAGAGACCCTGTCCAGATTCGCTCCTCGTCCTCATCCTCATCCTGGGGTTCAGAGTCGGGCAGCTCGGGTTCCGATGATAAAACTGCCAGTGCCTGCGCGCATAGCGTCTCATCGAGTCCCAGAGGAGGGTCCGCCGCGACAGGAGTCGTTATCGGTGCTCGGCGAGCCGGCGCCGGGGTCCGGAAGCCGCGGCGTCGTTCGCCGGAGCTGGCCGGTTCCTTTTCGAAAAGTCGCCGGTCTCCGTCGTCGAGGCGGGCGCGGGTGTGCCTTTTGCAGGGACGAGCAACAAGTTGGACAACAGGTCCGCGATGTTTGTGTATCCGTAGGTGCGCGCTGTCGCCTTACGCGTGTTCGTCGATCGCGTATCACGCCCTCCCCCTTTTCCGGGTCCTCTTCGGGGGCGTCTTGCGGCGTCGTTCGCCGCACCTGCACCCCCCTGGTTTTCGGGGTTCGTCGCGAGGGGAGGGGGTCCGGCGAGGAGAGCGCGGAGAGCGAGGAGAGCGCGGAGAGCGAGGAGAGCGCGGAGAGCCGGGAGAGCGAGGAGAGCGAGGAGCGCGAGGAGGACGCCGGTGGTGGGTCGTAGTGTGCCGCGGCGCGCGAGGAGGCTACAACCCTGCCCTCGTGCGGCTGTTCCTCGGCCTCCGACGACGGCCCGAGGCTCGGCCGATGCTCCTCCGCGCGTTTCTATTTTGCCCCCTGTCCCTGGGCTCCCTCGACGTTCCCTCGGCGTTTTCTCGGCGTTCCCTCGACGTTCCCTCGCGGATTAATCCGATTGATCCGAACTCGGCCGCGCACCACTTCTCGCGGAACGCGCGATATATCTCCTCTCTCTCTCTCTCTCTCTCTCTCTCTCTATTTCTATCTCTCTCTCTCTCTCTCTCTCTTGCGCACTGCACGCACACGCGTAGCAACGACGACGAAGACGACGACGGCAACCGCTCCGTGCACCGAACACCGAAGAGCACCGAACACCGAAGAGCACCGAACACCGAAGAGCACCGAGCACCGAGCACCGAGTGCCAACGACGGGACGCGAGCAACGATCGCTCGGTTACCGGCAGTCGGAGCTGCTTCGCGGCTGGATCGACCGGACGAGCCGAGCGAGCTGGACGAGCCGAACGAGCTGGACGAGCGGACGCGAGACGTCTACCAGGACGAAGATCGAAGACGAAGATGTACCACCTGTGGGCGCAGAAGCAACAATTGTCCGCCGTGTATCGCGGTGGAGGGTAGCCCGACTACATGGCTCGTACCGGGTGTGGCTGGGGTGCAACTGGCAATGCAGCGTCGTCGACCAGCGTCGCCCAGCGTCCTGGGCGCCTGCGTCCTTTCCTCCTCGCTTCGTGCAGCTCCTCTTCCTATTTCCCTCCCCGAACTGCTGCCTGCACGGGTCTCTCTCCGTCTCACCCTCCGCGACGCCTCTTCCACCCTCGCGAACGCGGTCTCTGTCTCCCTCTCCCTCTCTCTCTCTCTCTCTCTCTCTCCCTCTTTCTGCTCGTGCTTTCGCACCCCTCCCGTCGTTGCTCCGTGCGCCACCCCCGGCCTTCTCTCACCCTCTCTCTCCCTCTCTCTCCCTCGCTCGCTCTCTCTTCGGACGGTTCGCGCGAGGGGTTGGAACGAGCGCAGGAACGAGGAAGCCGAGCAAGAGGGTGAATCGCCAGGGGAAAACCCTTGCCGCGACGCCGATGTGGCTCTTGCCCATCGATTTTGTACGAGTTCGGGGCCGGAGCAACACCTGTTACCGCGTCGGATGGAACGGAGTCAGAGATGGGGGTCGAGGGAACTCCGCGGGAGGGGTCGGTGGGGCGAGAGGGTGGACCGGAGAGAGCTATGAACCACCGGCGCGGCGGAGGGTGGTCGAGAGGTTTCTGTTTCTGGTGGGACGGAGAGCACCGGAGGGAGGGAACTTTGCTCGCGAGAGAGAGAGAGAGAGAGAGAGAGACAGAGAGAGAGAGAGAGACGGTCCTACGAGGTTGACGAGCGAGAAGAGCAGATGCAGCACCGACAACGGAGACAGAGGGTTGAGGTTGAGTGGTGGTCGAGGGTGGCGATGCAGGATGAACGAAACCGAGGTGAGAATGCGCGCCCGAGAGAGACGGAGGATTGCGGAGGAGGCCGGCCGAGCGACGGAGAGCGAAGNGCCGATGTGGCTCTTGCCCATCGATTTTGTACGAGTTCGGGGCCGGAGCAACACCTGTTACCGCGTCGGATGGAACGGAGTCAGAGATGGGGGTCGAGGGAACTCCGCGGGAGGGGTCGGTGGGGCGAGAGGGTGGACCGGAGAGAGCTATGAACCACCGGCGCGGCGGAGGGTGGTCGAGAGGTTTCTGTTTCTGGTGGGACGGAGAGCACCGGAGGGAGGGAACTTTGCTCGCGAGAGAGAGAGAGAGAGAGAGAGAGACAGAGAGAGAGAGAGAGACGGTCCTACGAGGTTGACGAGCGAGAAGAGCAGATGCAGCACCGACAACGGAGACAGAGGGTTGAGGTTGAGTGGTGGTCGAGGGTGGCGATGCAGGATGAACGAAACCGAGGTGAGAATGCGCGCCCGAGAGAGACGGAGGATTGCGGAGGAGGCCGGCCGAGCGACGGAGAGCGAAGAGAGAGAGAGAGAGAGAGAACGAGATAGAGCAAGAGAGAGGAGACAGCGGCGGGCAAATAGCGACGTCGAGGAAACGCCGACGCCAATCGATAGCGCCGACCCCGGCGTCGCTTCGCTTCGCGTCGCGTCGCGCCGCGTTCGCTGGCAGGGCTCTGCGATAGCGCATCGCTCATGCTAGTCTCTCTCTCTCTCTCTCCCTCTGCCTCCCCTCGAGCCCCTTCCCCACCGACGACTCGGTTGCAAGCCTCTTTTTTCCCCTTTTTCCTTCTTTCTCACCCTCGATCAAGGCTTCTTCCTTTTTGCTTGCAAATCCGCCCTCTTTCTTACACCCGTATCATTGCTCTTCCCCCGTCTCTCTCCGTTCGAGCTTTTATTCGGCTAGGTGTCCCTCCTTTTTCTCATCCTTGATGGCGTTTTTGTCCCACCCGCGTTTGCAACGGCAGCTACGACCCTCTCTGTCCGGCCAGCGCCACGTGCTTTGCGTACGAGCGAGAAACCAACCTACCAGCCCCGTCAACGACCACCCCCAACGTCGGTTTGCGCGCGTACCTTGTAATCTCGACGCTTATTCTCGGACGTCGTCCGACCGCTTGTCCCGCTCGCGACGAGCGTCGCGCGTCGCGAGCCGCGCGAGAACCGACTGGACCGAACCCGAAATTCGTGTCGCGGAGTAACGTGCTCGCTTCTGCTCGTCGGGAATTCGTGGATCGGCTCTTTAACCCCTTGTAGTAATCGCACAGCTTTTCCTTCTTGCAGCGTCGATAACTCGATTAAAGATGGAAGACTGAAACGTTGCTCTGCTGGCGAAAGGATAAACAAAACTCAACTATAGAGTGCAGGAGGTTTACAATTATTTATATATGTCGTCGAACCGATTTTCGAAGCAATTCCTTTGTTTCTATTACGATGGACGGTATATTCGTCGAGGCGTAAAAATAAACATCGAAAGGAAAGAAGTTTCGAAGCCACCCTTATTTTATGTTCGTCCAAAACTCGAGTCGCAGAGCGACGAGTCCAAATTAAATTGCGAACGATCGAAAAGAGTCGTATCGATTCTCCGGATCGAATCGACTTTTACTTTTTCTGCCGCCCCTTTGCCCGGCCATCGCGCGAGAAAATCGCGCGGGGATGTTTTTCGTCGTCGACTCGGCGAGCGAGTCGATACACCTTCCGGATACACTCCCGCTACCGATTTATCTCGACGGATTTCTTTGCTCCGTTTCGTTTCGAGGGGGCGGGGCGGATCGTTCCTCGAGGATTTCGAGCCCTCTGTCGGGAGCAGCACCGGGACTCGCCGGACCTCGGGGGTTGACGGCTCGTGTCGTGACCGTAATCTGCGATTAATCATCGATTTTGCGCAACGGAGACGGAATTACGGTTATTTCCATGTACGAGGGGCTAATTAGCGGCATTATAACTATTAATTCCGTGGAAATCATGGTTGTTCGAGTCGGCCGATGGTCGGGGGAAAGTTCGCCGGGGCAGTTTTTCGCGTCGAGATCGGCGATAATGCGGGGAAACCGACGTTGAACCGGTGCTCCGGTAATAACATTCTTCGGGCCGCGGTATCGCGACGCTTCCGATAACTTCGAATCGTCGGTTTCAGCAATCCCCGCAACGTTCCGCTCCGACTTCTACGAAATATCGAAATTTTCGTTTTTCCGTTTCTTGCGACTCGTACACGGACCATCCGCGATTCTATTTCGAATTGATCTTTCGACGCGTTTAAACCTCGCCATTCTCTCCTGCAAATGCGGTAAACACTTTTCATTTTTCATTCAAAAACTCCGGCACATTTTCCAATTACATTTTCCTGGGAATGCGTCCTCTCGCGAGCGGGCGAACCCGCGATTAAAAAGCGCGCGGTTATTCGGGCTGTCCCATCGGCGTTGAATCGGTACGTTGGCAGAACGTGGCAAACGGGCCGGACCGTGCCGGGTCGGGTCGGGTCGGGTCGGGTCGCCGTAACCGAGAAGGAAATTTAAAGTCCGGCCCGTGAAAGGTTAACGCGATCGAACCCATCGACGTCCGATGTACTTTCCAGGCAGGCTGCCCCGGTTCTCCCTCGGCCCCCCTCGGCCTCCGCCGCGCGGGACGGTCCATTTAATTGCGCGAACCTTGCCAAGGAGGAGGGGGACGACGTTACGGCGGCGCTGTTTTTATTTGTACAATCGACTACCGCGGTACCGAATGCTCTTATTAATATTTATCGGCCGATGAAACACCGACGAGACGATTTAAACGACGCACCGAACGCCGCGTCGGGCAAGCCGAAAGGATTAAAAGGAGTCTGATCAGCGAATCGTATCAACGCCGCGTCTCTCCTTCCTCGTTCCGCGCGTTCTCGTCGACGCGACGCGAAGTCGCCGATTCCCAACCCGTTGATTTGACGTTTTCGAATAGAATTTTAGTCGCGCGCGATCGAGACGTTCGGATCGATACGTCGGCGGACGAACGCTTCGAGAGTCGTTTCAACGGACAACGGTAATTTGATCTCGTATCGATGAAATTCGAAAGTTTGCTCGGAACGGTTGGTTCGCCTTCGCGAATTTCAAAATTCTTCGGATCGAAAGAAAGCGTTCGGAAAACGTGGAATTCGGTGGCGTCGCGTCGTTCGATCCGCGGGTTTCGAAAGGCCGTTTTAACGGAAAATAACGTCGTATTTTCACGCGATTCTCGCGAACGTTTCGAGGAAGGAACGGAATTCTCGTTCGATCCGAATTTTCGCGAAACTGCGTAATCCGCGAGAGCGCGGGCTTTAAAACGGAGCGATATTACGGAAACATTTATTCGCGTCTCGTATATTTGCTAATTAAGCGGCGGCGGAAGGGTCGAAAGAATTTCCGGAATATTCATCGCGGCCAAATAATCGCGTCGTTGCCTTCCGAGTATTCCAAGGCGAGGTATTCGCTTACCGGAGGTGTAAGCGGCCCGAGCCAAAGGGAAAATTTCATTCTTTATCTCTCGCGCCCTTTAATGGAAAGCTTTTATAGTATACGTTACAGGCTTAGCTTCTCGCTGCTGCGAGCAATATTTCTTTCGCGGAAGCAGGAATGCTCGCTCGCTCGCTCGCTCGCTCCGGCGACCAACGCCAACGAATATCCTCTTTCGGACCGGAGAATCCTTGGAATCTACCGTTTACCAACCCGATAGCCAAGGATTGCCGAAAGAATGAATATCTTTCGTCCGGGACGCGCCGTTCTCCGTTCGAGAGAATTTAATTGCTCGCAGAAATTATCGTTCCCGAATCGAACGTTCGATTCGGTCGGACCGTAGCAGCGTCGAACCCGGTCGTTCGATACGATCGGCTCCTGCCATGACTTATCGCCGCTGTTACTTACTCTCGACGATCCATCTCCCGTTGTTCCCATCTACGGTCGCCGGTATAAATTCACCGCTGCTCGAGTAGACGGTTCGCCTAACTCGGATATTAGTTGGGAACCGAACGAACGATTCCAGCGACGGCGTCGAAGACGACGACGATCGTATTCGCTCAGAATGTATCGGGTCAAAGATTACGTGACCCGTAATAGATTTCGAATCGCGAGGCCCGAACGGAGACCTTCGCGGGTGTCCCAAAAGGGATGCCGAGTATCCCCGGCATGCCCACGGTTAGCCTCGACCCAAATGCCCTAACCGACGCGACGCGCCTCGGTGCATCGAGTCGCAACGAGGGTCGCGTCCTCGACGAGACTTCGAATTTCGTTTTCTCGATGGACGTTGACTTTCTCGATCCTCGTTCCAGACTCTCGGAATCGTTGAAAGATAGCTGCGGCTTCGAACGTTTCCAGGCACGCGCTTCCAAATTCTACGTTTCCCGGTATTCTCTTCGGTCCGACCAAC